ATTTCCAATAATAATAATGATTTTTAAACGATACCTGAGGTCGGAGTTAGAGAAAAGATAGCTGGTTGTACTACAGGTATGCTTAGTTGAACCACTTTTTCAAATGTTTATGGCAGCAGTAGTTCAAATAGGTAGATCTAGTTGAACTAATTCTTTTTTGTTCGCTAAATCTCTGTTTGATTATTCTGATATTTGTTAATCTTGAATTATATTATTTCTTCTAGCAAAGCTTCCCACCATACTGACTACTGAGCTGTGTGATCTAATGTGAGGGTTGAGAGTGAGACTGACTGACCTGAGTGACTGCTGAGTACTGAGTACTGACTATCACTAGTGAAGTGAAGTGAGACTGTGAGTAGTGACTACTGGCTGCCGCTGGTCACTGGTGGAGTGGTGGGGTGGTGGTACTGGTCACACTGGTGACTCTCTAGCACTAGCAGTCTCACATATGCCGGTACGTTTGGGACCGGTATCACGTTAATTTTAGTCCGCCCATTAATTTTATATCGAAATGATTATTTTTTGAAAAAAATATTCGAGGCTAATGTCATTTATAATTTGTGTTTATAAAGTATTTATGTAAAATACTTTTTATAGGGAGCAATTTTGAATTCTTGCTGAANTGACAGTTTAAAATATAGTTCCAAAGGAATTGAGTCTTTGCGACAAACTCCGATTTTCAAATCCCTTTATCTCTGCAACCCAATGTCATAGACCTTAGATATTTCAAACTATTAATTCTGTTAGATCAAATAATCTAATTTTGAAAAATGAAAGGTTGTTTGTTGCAAATTTAAGAAAATTTAAGTTTGTGGCAAAGACTCAATTCCGTTGTATGTAAAGAAGAATTACAAAATTAGAGGTTGAGGCCAATAATCAAATCCAAATATTTGAATGAATTAAAATAATTGAAATATTTAGATTTGACTGAAAAGGATTCTCCAGAGCAGCCGAGAACTCCTAGGCAGCGGGATTTCTTAGGTATACAAAAAGGCTAAAATAAGAAATCGGATATTTTTAAAATACCATGCTTAGAACAGCTATCAATGTCCCACTTGTTGGTGATGTTGTCGATCGTAATAATTAATTAAAAATAAAAAAACGAAATTTTATTTTTAAAAATTCTGAAATTTTTTACAAATAATAAATACTTCCTCTTAATCAATGAAATATTCTGGTCATAGGAAATTATTATGTGAATTATCAAAATTATCAAAATTTAATGCTTTTTACCTCCTCGGATACTATACGAACACGAATGCATCTATTCTTGTTTACAAATTCCGCCCAGAGAGAACTGGTTTCAATGTGTACGCAGAGTATACGCAACTGCAATTAACTTTCCTTGCATTACACCCTTGCTCTTTAGTTTCATAATCTTGAATTCTGCACTGTTCAGATATTTTGGAGGATTCGGAGGATACTTTTGAATTCGAAGGATCCAGAGAACCTCCGAGAGTATTTAGGTTAAAAAAAATACAGATATTCTTAGATAGTTTTTAAAAACGTTAAAGATGAATTACCTAATTTCGTATTTTATTTTACATTTTCCTTCCCCTTATAGGATTTACTAACCGAAGTCCAGGCATAGCTAACATAAATATATATTATATATATTATATATATTATATAGATTATATAGATTATATAGATTATATAGATAGACGGCAAACTAACCAGAATTTCATTCAATAAAGTAAAAAAAAAATATTTTTTTCTCGCCCTGGCGTCTCAAAATTAATGAAAAATACTAAATCTTTCACTTTATATTCAAATATACTGAGGTCGAATTTAAAGAATTTTAGCCGCGGTTTAAATTTAAGCCGCGGCTCAAATATTGTTGGTTCCACTTAAAATTTTATTTTATATTTGAAGATTTAAGCCGGTGCTCAATTGAAACCGGCTTTTGGGGGATTTGAGACAAGGCTTAAATTCATTAAATTCGGACACAGGGCGAGTAAAAAACTTGATTAGCGTTGATTAACAATACACCATAAAAAGTGATAGAGTTGTGCTTTAGATGGAAAAATACTGAAATAAAGTAAATCAAATTCAAAAATCTTTTTTTGAACATACAAAACCACAATCCACTAAAATAGTTTTTTGTCAAAAAATATTTTTTTTTACAGAAATCGCTTAGAAAATGTATATTCTATTTTATTCCAAAGTTTTACAAAAATCTATTAAAAGATACAAAAGTTATCCTATAAAACAGCAGGACGTCTTGAATAGTGACATTTTCGCCCAAACTCCATAAAAGACCAGGCATAACGTTTTGTGGACGTGTCCTTGGGGTACGCAAAAACTAGGAATTTTTTTTTGGCATTGTAAACCAAGCTTTTGCCATTCTTCAAGAATAACTGCCCATTTCTTAGATTTGTTTACAAGATTTCCATTTTTTAGATTATATACAAGATTTCCATTTTTTAGATTTATATACAAGATTTCCATTTTTTAGATTTGTATACAAGATTTCCATTTTTTAGATTTGTTTACAAGATTTCCATTTTTTAGATTTGTTTACAAGATTTCCATTTTTTAGATTTGTTTACAAGATTTCCATTTTTTAGATTTGTTTACAAGATTTCCATTTTTTAGATTTGTTTACAAGATTTCCATTTTTTAGATTTGTTTACAAGATTTCCATTTTTTAGATTTGTTTACAAGATTTCCATTTTTTAGATTTGTTTACAAGATTTCCATTTTTTAGATTTGTTTACAAGATTTCCATTTTTTAGATTTGTTTAAAAGATTTCCATTTTTTAGATTTGTTTACAAGATTTCCATTTTTTAGATTTATTAACAAGATATCTATTTCTCAGACCCTAAAGAATGAATAAGATTGTCAGACCGTAAACTGTCGATGTTACGTCAAAGTTTTATTTTTAAAACAAAATTTAGAATATGTTTTGTCTTATTTTTAATATGAAAACTTTGCAATTGTTTTTTTTGTTTCATCAAAAAGTTATTCAGAGTTTCAGCAGAAGTTATTCAAAACGAAAATCATTCAAGTTTTACAAAAAGTACAAAAAATATTTACAAAATGTAAGTTTTTTTTACCAAAAAGGACGGTTCTTCACAAAACAAAAATAAAAAATAAAGCTGGGTTGCCGGGTGGAGCAGGAAGAAGAGGCTATTAAAGATAAAGGCCTAAATTTCGGTAAAACTTTTTAACACTTAAACCAAAGATTAATAACAACACAGATAAAACACTTGATGTCGTCTTTTCAAGATTCAGGGGTTTTTCGTTCACAATAACCCTGAGGCAGACGCCCAAAGGAGTTATGCGCATTATGCGTAGAATTACAAGACAAAGAGCCTGTTCAAACCAGCATGCGCGTAACTCATTTGGGCTTCTGCCTCAGAGTTATTGTGAACGAAAAATCCCTATATCTTGAAAAGACGACATCTAATGTTATATCTGTGTTTTTATTAATCTATGACTTAAACAGACTGCATCAAAAATGTTTTAATATTTGGCAGAGAGCTTTATAATGAAGAATTATTGAACTTGTTTATTAAGTTTTATCAGTATTAGATTTTGTACAAAATTTTCAATTTTAAAGAATTTATATTTTAAGTACCTTACTTTTTAGACGTCAGTCCAGCTAAATTAATGCTAAACAATTTTTTTCTTCTAAAAAAAAAGAGTTTTTAAAGATTTTAGATTAAAAATATCAACAGATTTTGGGACTCAATTCATGTTGATACACTTCTTAAAATGAGTTAAATTCAACAAGGTAAACCACCCAAGGATGTGTAATTTAATAAAAATAACCCCTAGAAGAACACGAACATCGTGGTTTATTAACCCCTAGAAGAACACGAACATCGTGGTTTAATTTTTTTCTGAAATGAGTTATCAAAGAAAATGTTACAAAGACTCGATTCGATCGATGATACATGATGATGATGGGTAATGTTTTCTATAGAGTGAGGGGAGTTAAAAAAAATCACCCACTCCATTTTTTGTAAAATCCTATATACAGGGTTACCCTCAAAGGAAGAGACTGTAAAGACGACCGGAAAACTCTTGAATTATGACGATTCTAAGATTGAATTTAGTCTTGTGGCTTATAATACTATTTCAATGGCTTATTTAAAGGGAGTGTTCGCGAAAAATGAAAGGGGGTATAGGCTTACGCGATAAATAATCTCTTTTGATCGCTACTAATCTTTCTTCTGTCTGTTGCGTCTATAATGAGAAAATATTTAAAAACGTCTTATACTGAAGAACGTAGATTCCTTACAAATTCAGAAATTTGCAACATACGACTCGGATCGTAACAACATCAATTTAATTCCAAACAAAGCATATATAAAGCATTCATATATAGTTAATATTTAATAATATTTTAACTTTCTATGATCTGAGAGTGGCTTTTGAAAACATTAATTCCTGTTTCGAGGATTTTAATAATGAAGACGACATTTTCCATATTTTCCGGGAATGCGCCAGTCGTGAAAACAAGTTGTAGGCAAAATATTAATTTAAAAAAACACAAAATAAACAATATTATGAAATATCAACTATATACAAATGCGTCGAAAAATAATCGATGACTATAGGATTTAATATCGAAAATTATTTGTTTGATATTAATTTGATTTTTTTACGATCCAAGTCGAATGTTCCAACTTCCCCAATTTGTATGACCGTATACAGACCGTATACATTCTGTAAAGTCGTCTCTGAAGTCTCATCCTTTTGTGGGGAACCCTGTAAGTATCATATAAAAATGAAATAAATTCTTATTAATTTACCGTTGAACATCCCTTCCCATTCCTCCCTCTGAAAAAAGCAACCTCCCCTCACTATCATTCTATCTTAACCTAACCTAACCTTTAATAGAAAAATGATGGAAGATGTTTCTTTTTCAAGGGTAGGGTTGGGAAGGGCCTACACGTACTACTGGAGGACATGGAGAGTCCAGATGTACCAATAGAGGACGGGGAGGGTCCGGAAGTACTAATAGAGGACGGGGAGGGTCCGGAAGTACTAGTAGAGGACGGGGAGGGTCCGGAAGTACTACAAAAGGACGGGGAGAGTCCGAAAGTACTAATAGAGAACGGTGAGGGTCCGGAAGTACTACTAGGGGACGGGAAGGGTCCAGAAGTACTACTAGAGGACGGGGAGAGTCCGAAATACTAGTAGAGGACGGGGAGGGTCCAGAAGTACTACAAAATGACGGGGAGAGTCCGGAAGTACAAGTAGAGGACGGGGAGAGTCCAGAAGTATTAATAGAGGACGGGGAAGGTAAGGAAGTATTACTAGAGGACGGGGAGGGTACGGATGTACCACTAGAGGACGGAAAGCTAGGGGTCAGGAAGTACTACTAGAAGACGGGGAGGGTCTGGAAATACTAAAAGAGGACGGGAAGGGGTCCGGAAGTACTAGTAGAGTAGGGGAGAGTCTGGAAGTACTACTAGAAGATGAGAAAGGGTCCGGATGTACTACTAGAGGACGGGAAGGGGTCCGGATGTACTACAAGAGGACGGGAAGGGGTCCGGAAGTACTAGTAGAAGACGGGAAGAGTCTGGAAGTACTACTAGAGGACGAGAAAGGGTCCGGAAATACTACTAGAGGACGGTAAGGGATTCAGAAGTACTACTAGAGGATGGGGAGAGTCTGGAATTACTAGCAGGGACAAACATTTCTCATCCTGACAGAACATTTCTGTATACTGCCTTTAGCAATGATGATATAAGATTAGAAAACATTGTTGATAAAAAGATATGACGGCTTTATTCCTTAAGGTCTGCTATAACTGGAATTCTTTTGTAATGAAAACAATAGTTAAACCTTATAAATTTATTGTACATTTAGATTGTAAAACTGTTATGTCTCAATTATATAAAGGAAAAATTTGAGATGGTCGAGACTTCAAAGAAATAGAGTCTTTGCCACAAACTCCGATTTCTAATCCCCATATTTGTATTCAGGACTCATAGTTTGATATATCTAAACTCTACGACATTGGGTTGCAAAGATATAGCGATTTGGAAATATATGATGTGGAAAAGACTCAAATTCTTTATTTAAGAAAATTTACTGTGGATTTATCAAGATTAAAAAAACTTAAAATAAAGATCATGATGTGACTGTAAACAGCAAAAAAAACATATTTATGAAAATCTCTTTTTTTAATAATAAATTGATTATTTATGTAAATACTTGATCTTTAAAGTTAAATATCATACAATATCTTTAAAAGTAAAAGATAAAATATTTTACAGTCTAGTAATCTAAATGATTTTATTTGAAATTCAATGACACAAACTGAATAAAGATGTCACTAAATTGTTTTAAACAGATTTGTATTGTACCAATGCCGGTGATGTCGTCTATTTGTTTGAGTTTCTAACACTTCTGTAAATAAAACTGTTTTTGGTCACAGATCTTTGTCTTTGTCGTCTTTCTTCAACCTAAAATAATACAAAATAATACATTAAACTAAACTACACTAAACTAAACTGAAATAATACAAAATAATACATTAAACTAAACTAAACTAAACTAAACTAAACTGAAATAATAAAAATAATACAAAATTATACAAAATAATACATTAAACTAAACTAAACTGAAATAATAAAAATAATACAAAATTATACAAAATAATACATTAAACTAAACTAAACTAAACTAAAATAAACGAAATAATACAAAATACTATCTTTGCGACCCAATGTGGTATACCTTAGATATTTCAAACTATAAATTTTATTAGATCAAATAATATAAGTTTTAAATATCAAAGGTTACACCACCATAGTTAAAAAGAAATAAGAGTTTGTCACGAAAACTCAGTTCCTTCACCATGTTTGAACTAAATATTTATAATACGTTTTATCCATAGAGAATAGAATATATAGAGAGGAATTTACTAGAAAAAAGTGTAAAACGGCCATTTTGTTGTACTGTTTCCATACTGCAGGTGTACTTCACATATTTTTGCTATATAACCTTTTGGGCCCTGGAACATCATTTTATACAAAAATTTTCTTGAAAATTATTTGAAAGCCAATATTTTAGAAATATTCAAGATATCAACATATGGTTCAACTTTTTTTCCACTAAAATTGAGGATGGAGATAAACTTAATATTTTAAATTCATTTTACAAATTTTTAAATGGGAAAATTATTTTGGAATCAGAATCTTCAATTCAAAAATTTTCTTTAACTAAGTGTTTTGAAAATAAAATCTAAAATTAATATTAAAAAAAACCAAATTATGAAATAGGCTTATTTCATAATTGAGTAATTGACCAATGATCATTTCACATAGACTTTCACTTAACTAACGATGATTTTCCGTTATAACTATAAATCAAATGATGTTTTTATTCAACTAATTCAAATTATAAAGTTTATTTAACAGTTTAAAAATTTCGAAATTGAAATTGATAGTCTAGGGAACATACTGTATTAATGTACTTTACTGCGTATAATTTGTGAACATTTACATGATTCGTACACTTTGAACTCCCTTTCAGGCTGAAAGGGACTGAAAAAATTCATACCGAGAGATTCTTTTAATTCCTCTCTATATATTCTATTCTCTTTGGTTTTATCTAAATATTTTCTTTTAAGCTTTGAATAAAACATAAAGAGAAAAATTAAGTGTGAAACAAAAATGATATTGTTTTTAACTAGCGTGAAGAAAAAACTAAGTCATTTCAGTCGTCATATGTAAGACAGATAAAACCCCTCTGAAAATATAGTTTTTTAGGTTTTTACACCATTTAACCCCTATAAAGGAAGACTCTCGTTGATTTTGGTAAACTTATCCTGATTTCTAGACTCCAAACATTGGTAATGTTACACGCACCTCTGACCCTTTAGTAAAAGTAAATTCAACTTAATGTCTGACCGCGTCAACCTTGTTGCACCGGCTAGTCCTTTTGAGTGTCTGCCTTATTTACCCAATGTCCCGTCGATACAGTACAAACTGGGACCGGAAAGGTTGACCGGGCTCGGAAATTCAAATGTACTATGGCTGTCCCATGGACACGTAATTCCTCTGTAAATTTTAGAATTTTCTTTTGATCATTGTTAGCATGAACTTATATAGAGGTTTATTATCAACCCGCTGGATATTGAATATTCAGACATTCAAAGCTCTTTGAAAAAGTTTTTTTTTGTCAACAAGGGCCGCAGGGTTGGTAGATCTCTTTTCAAAAGAATTTTCTAGCAAAAGTTTATAAAAAGTGTTCAGATCTGTATAATTATAAAGTTTATAAAAAGTGTTCAGATCTATATAATTATAAAGTTTATAAAAAGTGTTCAGATCTGTATAATAATAAAGTTTATAAAAAGTGTTCAGATCTGTAAAATAATAAAGTTTATAAAAAGTGTTCAGATCT